ACAGATTTAGGGCTTGATGATATCTTTTAACAACTAATTGCACATGGGGCAAAAACACACATAGCCTTTTGAAAAAAAAAAAAAATCAGCTTTTTCCCAAATGTTGCTCTTCATACCTTGTCCATGCAAAAAGTAAAGTTCACGACTAAATTCCAACCAACAGCCAAAGAAGCCCTCTGACAGAAAACCCTGGCAGCTGTCAGCAAGGATTTCACATGGCAGCGCAGTGCCTGAAAGCAACACCCTAACGAGTATGTGCGCAGCATATGTCACTATTTCTCTATATTGAGTGTCCATTACCAACTGTCCCTCATTACCAACTGTCCACATCAGACATAACTCTGAATACAAGTTTCTTTTATGAAAAACTTGTATCATCTCTTCAGGTGAGACACACAGTCCTTCCCGGTCTACAGTTCTACTCAGCCAAGTTTTGCAATAATACAACTTTTCACTCTTAACTATTACACATTTTATTGCTAGAAAGAAAAGGGCAGGGCCAGGCAGACTGGATCCAATACCCTACCGCGCTCTGCTAGGCGTTAACGCCAGACTGTCTGAAATTAACAAACCTGTGTCTGTGTTCATCCGGTCCATGGATCAAGAAGACTCCAGGGTTTTTCGCCCCTTTGCCCGCATCTACATGCGGAATCAACACATCTTCTAAACCCAGATCAAAGCGTTTGTGTTTCGAAGAGTCTGGAAGAAAGAAGAATGCCCCAAAACACAGGGTGATGAAGGCACTAAGAATGAGGAGAAGGATAAACTTCTCAGAAAGTCTCAAGGTAGCCCTGTGATGCGGGAAGGAGGGCGGCCCCAGGCTCAGAGGCGGTATCCTACGTCCAGACAGGGGCAGCAGCGCTGGGGCAGTCATCGTTTAGGCTCTCGTTTGGGCTGAACACTTCATAAGGTTTTCATCTTCACGGCAAACACACACCACTCGGAACGGTTTTCAAAATCTTAGTGAAAGTGGATCAACTCAGTCTTCCCTTCTCCAAGGACTGTTGTGCTTTTGTAGGAGGGCACCTTTCGCTCGCGTCCAATTACATCCACAAACCCGGGCGGCCTCCTGAAGGATCGCTCCTTTATGTCGTGTGGAATCTTCCTGCCATCTGGCTCTGGGCACCGCACCGGGTTACTGTAAGTCTCCTGCTCATTCCTAGGCGCGCAGCCGGCGAGCCACGCTGCAGAGGAGCTGCAAGGGGGGATCTTCCATTCCTGCACCCCAGCGCGATGCTCAAAAGGGAGCCTGGCGACAGCCGAGTTGGACAGGGCTCACTTCGGCTCCTCCGCGCCGCCACCGCCCGGGATCGGATCCTCGCTGGTGGCAAAGACGCAGGTCTGCTCGCAAGTCTCGGGCGGGGAAGGTCTCCCTCCGCACCGCGCCGGCCAGCCGAAGCAGCAGCCCCGGCGAAGGCGCCGGAGGAGCCGCCGGCCGCCCGCACTTCCCGACGCCGCCCCGCGGGCTCCGGGGCCGCCGAGCTGCCGACGCGAAGGCAGCCGCGTCC